TTCCGAATGGATTTCTGTTACCAGTTTCTAGCTCTCACCTGGATAAGTGGTCTGTCATCACTTGCTCTGCAACAGTCTGTTTCTTCTTCTCAGCAGCCACCATTTCCTAAGAAGAAAAACAGAAAGAAAACTTCATTGTCCATAAAGCAGAATAATATGATAATTAGCATAAGAGCCCTAAAATATAAATCATTCACAGCACATGAGGGTAAAACTGAATTGGAATTATTCAACCTTTTATCACAAATCTGAACAAATAAACAACATCCTCCTGTCATCAGAAGGATAATAGTATTTTTTATGCATATAACCCATTGACAATATTTGTCCTACTTTTCTCAATTACTGTTTTGACTGAACTATGTTCAGACTCGTATGTTTTGTTTTTCAACACATTCAAAAGTATTTTTACTCCATTTAAAATTATATCAGGGCCGGCCTAGTGGCGTGGTGGTTAAGAGCTGGCTTGGGACGCCAGAGGGCTCCGGTTCAGATCCCACATATGAGAGCCAGTGACACTGCCCTCTATAGCTAAGATGCTGAACAACAACTCAACCTGGAGCTGGGCTGCCATGAGTCGCCGGCGACGGTGTAGGCTGCAGCGACAGCAACTTGTCTGTTCCCCTTCCCCCAATTCCCCAGTGCTGTTCCCATCCCCCAATTCCCCAATAAAAAATCTTAAAAAAAAAAAATCATACCAAATTGATTTTTATCCATTCAATTCCAATTAGATTATCATATAACTATAATCACTAAAATGCTTCTTTTGAAGGGTAAAGAGAAGAGGTTAAAAAATTAAATCAAATAAAGCTTATTCTGTTTTTTGAACATAAATTACTGTCTTTCCCATTGATCAACCTAATAAATGAAATTAAGGAAGATAATGTTGCTTAAGATAGAGGCTTTGTAACTTTAGAGAGAGTGCTCTATTTGAAACTGACTTAAATTCAAATAAGAATAGCTAAAGGCATATTATAGAAACAAAAAGTAGAAACTCCTAATATATCTAGAAAAGTTGAGCACAATCATTTAAACATTAGTGTATAATCAATTAAATTTTTGTTTGGTAGAAACTTAAGATGTATACTTTACATACTTTACAAATGTATGCTTACACATCCACATATGCCCCATTTAAATTCTTATCATTTAATATATAAATGCATCTTGTATTCTTTTAGCTCATGATACTTTATAGTGATTTTCGCTTAGTAATACATTTAAAACAGCAATTAAAAAGTTAGTAAAACTGTGTAATTTACAGTTAAAGCAAGGTACATTTTATATCAAAGGGTGATTCAGAAAGTGGATACTGACTAAAACATGAAAATTATATGTAGAATACATCAGCCAGAACGTAGATGTAAAACCCAGAAGCAAGGAGAAGAGCTGAGATTAATGAATATAGAGCCCATGCAGAAAGCCCACCTCTAGCGTTGACATTTATGGTGACTTATACTTTGTAGCAAAGGATAAAACCAACCTCAGGCACATTGATTTAGAGGTCTGTGTAAACATAAAGCAGATTAGAAGCAAAAGTTACACTGATTCAAAGAATCTGATACCACTGAAAAATGACAAGAAAATTAGAAGATGTGGACATAAAAACCTTTGGCTCACTGCTTCTGTTGTTCAGTTAAGAAGTTAAAAATTATATTAAAAACTTGCCACCTACATTTTAAAAATAAATCAATATCAATATGTGCTGCATCCAAAGAGTACTCACACAAACATTTCCTTGAAAAACAGGTAAATGATGGCTACTACAATCAACTGAAATGTACTTGATGGTCAATTTAGATATCATATTGCCACTAACAAAATAATTGTAAGAAAGAGAAACCCACTAACACCCAGATGGCTTTGGATTACACCAAGAACAATACCCAATGTGCTTTAAGTATCGGTGACATGCATTTCAAGTATAA